TCGATAGAATTTATCTAGTTGAAGCTGGGATAGTTCTGCAACGTTACATGGATGACGGACTGCGAATAGCCATGATGCTCCCTAGGTAGCTCGGAGAATTACTAATATTGCCTACCCATGACACGAGGCTAATGACCGTGTAGTCGATGCCGATGACACCCAAAAAAAAGCTCAATTACAATTACTTCATTCAATGCCTGCAACATTACTTTGTTTGTTTTCGAAGAAATTAATACGTTGGTATTAGGGAATTTTAAACTAATACAATTTAGTGGTCAGTAAGGAGCGAAGTAACAGTTTTGAAGACTGAAAAATAAACGATTTAATGGCGAATTGGAAAAGTAAGTTATTCAGCGTCGTTCTTACAATAGTAAAAATTTTTAAAAATCCGTANATATGTGGCAACAAAAAGATATTTGAACGAATACGATATCAATCCTTATAAAATAAATGTGTTGATTGTCTTGAACATTTCTTGTAAATTATAATTGTTCTTCACACCATACAATTCAAATTATTATCTTAAAATTAAAACGATCACGTGAGAAAATGAATTTAAGTGGTCTAACAAACCGATGCAACAAGTGTAACTAAGGAAGGGTGAGTTGGGCTGATTTTGAGGGATGAGATCGCATTTTTTATTTGTGTTGGTTTGAGGTATATAGATACTCACCTATTTCAAAATTAAAATTGATAGTTAAGAAAATTCGTGATTTTGTGGTAGTTGGAATGAAAATATAATCTTAAAATTATAAGAGGTTGACGGCTCTTGCTTTATATACCCTTCCAGTGGGTAGCCCGACCCATACAAAAATGCTTCGAATGGTCCACAATGTTCCTAAATATTCCACAGCATTTGATAATATTCTGAAATGTTCCACAATAACTCGGAATATTCCGGAATGATCTCGAACATTCCCAACTACTCCTGAATTTTAGGTCATTATAAATCCTCTCTGAAGTTTATCCTAGTGAACCTTTAGATATTTTCACATAACGCAATTTGTTCCTTATACCCTCAGATGAAATTTACTGCCTTTCATCTTTATATCGTGGGATTCATCCTTAGAGATGAAAAGGAGAGGGTTTTCTAAAGTTTTTTGGATTTTTTGTTTTCAGTTACCCATATGAGAAAGTTCTTAACCATGATTCCCTACATTTTGCCCTAAATAAAGCACCTTCTTCTTTCACACTGTAACATTAAGGGTGACATTGGTATATTACACTTCGGAAACACAAGGTATTTCAATTTATACTAGTGAAACAGAATCTGCTGGATTTATGATTAATAAAAGTAGGAAGGACTGTAGGAAGGAATGTTTATTTGTATGTAAAGCAAACAATTACGAATTCTCACATATAGATACAGGGTGTTTCCTAACTACGGTACGAAACTTGAAAAGGTAATTCGTTAGGCCGTATTAAGAAAAAAAGTTCTCATGAACATATGTCCGGAGTTGCTTCGTTTCTGAGATAAAGTGCGTTAAAGTTTAAAAAAAAACGATATTTATGAAATATCATAAATATCCTTTCACCGATTTGGTTGGAATTTGCTAAAGTTATTTAAAGTAATAGGGCGCTTATTTTGCCCTAACCTCCCGTTTGATGGTATATGCTTGTAAGCTAGCTTCAGGTAAATTTCAATTAAATATAGTTTAAATATGCTAATTAATTGGTATACTGTGGGAAACCAATGACACTGGGAAGAAATAGAATCATATAAGTTTTTCACTCTATCATAAAATACGCATTATTCGAAAAATGAAATAAACAAAGAAAAAATTGAAAATAGACTGAATTCATGCATCAAAATTGAAGACTATTGGACATCTATTGTGAATTTATGTCTTTTTGAATCGTTTGAGTTCATTTTGTGACATATTATTTTCTAGGAATGAATAGAAATAATCGATATTGCTTCGATTTATTGACATCATATCTTCAACAATCAGGTACATTTCTAGCGAAAATCATAATGTGGATGAAATAAACAAAGAAAAAATTGAAAATAGACTGAATTCATGCATCAAAATGGAAGACTATTGTGCATCTATTGTGAATGTATGTCTTTTTGAATCGTTTGAGTTCATTTTGTGACATATTATTTTCTAGGAATGAATAGAAATAATCGTTATTGCTTCGATTTGTTGACATCATATCTTCAACAATCAGGTACATTTCTAGCGAAAATCATAATGTGGATGGACTGTTCTGGTATAACCTCCTCTACAAAGTGTTTCATATAAAAAAAAGGGAAAAATTNGCTTGAAGGATAAACATCATGAAGACTGACAAAATTGTATTTCAAAACCAGCTGATAGCGAGATGCGCACGAATTTTTTTCTTCTTTGTTATTAACAGGAACATCGAAAAATCAATAAATTGATTTTCTGATGATGGTGGAATTTATATTGAAACATTTATTATTGATATTTATAATTTAGGATCTTTATCAGTATTTTGCAATAACTAAATAAGATTCTTGAGTTTACTAGTATATTAAAGTCACATCAAAATGTTTTCATGTATATGTCACATAATATTATTATTATTGATTTTTTTGGGAAAGATAGGTTTTGGCTTTCTACTTCTCCATCTTGGTACAAAAACATGTGGGAATCCTTCAACGAAATTAAGTTTGTATCTGAAAGTAACTTCTTTGCATGATCTACACATCTTTGTATAGAATTCCGGTTTTAAAAATTGATTGCTTCCTTCTTTTCTTTGTGAGATTCTCACATGTTTTTATATCAAAATCTACCCCTTTCAATTTAGATTATTATTGATGTTTCATATACGCCAGGCATCTCGTGATGTCATGGTATTTATTGAAGACAGGATTTCAGATGAATGAATATTGAATTGAAAAATATTTATTCTGAATATTTCATAAAAGAGCGAAAATTCAAAAATATTTCATTGTCTTTCCACACAAAATATAAAAACTATTTTAAATTATTTGTAGAAGATATTTCCGTCAACTTCCAGGTATTTTTTGACTCCCTTCCTCAAATTGTTATTTACAGCATGACTGATTTTATCGGCATCTGGAATATTGGATGAAATTTTCCATTTATCGTTTATGAGTACTGTATCGTTTACTACAAAATGGATGCCAAGAAAAGAAATCAAGGTGGTTGTTGATTCATTGATATATAATAAGTATAAGTGTGTTTTATGTTAAGGTTTGAAAAAATTATCATTTACTCGAAAACTACATCAAATATTTCGAACTCTTCGGCATCTGAACTCTAGGTAAAAAAATTCAAACGGGATACGAATCTGCTACGATTGTAGTAAGAATTTGCAATCCGTTTATTCGGTTACTGACATCCATGCACTGAAAATCCGAATCTGTTTCACAATGAAATAAAAAACTAGACAAACTTTGCAANATTTCGAATTGGGGTGAATGTAACCAGGTTCAATTCAATGCTACAAAAACCCAGGCATCGGTTTTCTCCAAAAAGATTATTGTCTCCGAACCAGATATAATAATGTCAATTCCGCTTTCTGCTTCGATGAGTTTGTTGGGGGGTTAAAATGGACACCAATTTGTCTTGGCAAAATCATGTCGCTGGAATTGCAAAGGCTGCTTCTCAAACGCTTAGAACACTCTATCGAACACGAAAACTACACACCTCAGCAACTTTTGATGCTTTATAAACCTCAGATCAGACCTTCTTTGGAGTATTGTTCTCATGTATTGAGCTCCGCCCTCAAGCATGCCCTGAAGCTGGTGAATTTCATCCAGAAAAGAGCAATCCGCCTGATTGGATACGAGAATATCACTTGCAACCTTGATAGTGTGGAACATCGTAGAAAGGTTGGAGATTTGTCTCTCTTTCATAGATATTTTCACAGGAAGTGTTCAAGTGACTTGGCATGTTTGATTCCACCAAGAGCGGTACATATCAGAAATACGCGACTGACTGTGGCTGCTAATCTTTTTGAGGTTCAACTCAGTACACCTCGAACTTCACTGTTCAAGAACTCTCTCATTTGGAGAATCGCGTTCATGTGGAATAAACTTCCTGAGAACGTTTTTTCCAAATGGATATAATCCCCAGCGATTCAAATCCAATGTGAATCGCTACTTTCACACCGACACCGCTCAAAGAGCGCCTTAAAGATTTTCCTGTGGTGCTTGTGTTCGTTTTAAAAAAAATCAGACTAGAAGAATCAACTTACTGTATAGGAAACATAGAACATAAGACGAATTTGATGAAATTAGATGAGATTGGGGTGTGTTGCTGCCTAAAGGCAAATTAAGAGAAATAATAAAATGAAGTCACCGTCAACAGGACAAGATTTACACAATTATCACTTTTGTCACTGAAACCAACTCCCTTCAATCTATTATGAATTTTCATTAGTTTATTTTGTCTATCACTACTGAAAAAAGCGTCATGTCATATATCCTCGTGGATATTGAACTCTAGTTTTTCTCTACGAGTAGGCAAGGATTCAATACCTTCGAACCAATTGCAGAAACATTACGCGGCTCCTTCAAAATTGTTCTCAAATGTCATTCGTAATCTTCGAACTGACATTTCTTAACGGATGATTGAAATGAAAGTTTTTTCAAGTTGCTCTTTGCTGTGAAATTCTCATTCGGGATATCCTTCATGAATGGATCTTATTTTGAGATATTATTGATACGTGTCATAGAAAAAGTATAGTATTCTACCCGTGTAAAATGATCATTACTTGCTCGAGCGGTTCACAAACTTCACTCTCACAAATGAAGCTCATTGAATTGTGCACATTTTCGACAAACAATGGTAAAAGTTGATATTCTCGTCAGCTTCTGGCGCATACTATTGAAATATACGCAATATTGGAGTCTAAAGAAATAACCAAATATTCATTCAATAGATTGCAATTGTTTTGGAGAAGGGAAAGTGCATGATTCGCGATCGAGTATGAAAGAAAACAGGGTTGAAGACTTTATAATAATAGAAGAAAAAAAACGAAAAATAATATAATTTTTTTTGCAGATTCCCTGACCTCGATATTTACGTGTTCAGGCAAAATACAGAAGGGGAATATGCCATGTTAGAACATGAATCAAAACCTGGCATTGTGGAGAGTTTAAAAATCGTCACGAAAGAAAACACCTTGAGGTTTGCTAGATGGGCATTCGAATTCGCAAGGAGGGAAGGAAGAAAAAAAGTTACAGTCGTCCATAAGGGTAATATTATGTGAGTAGAATTTTCTAATTGAATTCAAAGTAACTTTGAATAATACCAAAAAGAAACGATAACACCAATAATTTCAAAGTATGTTTTGAAGTAGAAGATTGAAACTATCAAGTAAGGTTATGTCCCAATCCCAGACTGAATTGGGAAAACACGACGTCAAACCAATATTTACGTCAATGAAAATTATCAGAGGAAGTCTAGGGTTAGTAAGGACCCCAGACATCATATAGCAACACTCTGGCATTCTGGATCTGCGAGTCGGTCTACATAAGTACCCGTCTCTCTGAACATAACAGAAATTGTCGCCTCGGACAAACCAACAAATCAGCTGTTGCATCACATGCTTTCACATTATCTAATTCGAAGATACACAAATAATCGATAAAACTCAAAAGTACTATGCAAGAATATATAGAGAGACAATAGAAATTCAGAAACACAGATGATTTCAAAATGAAGGAAGAGGTAGTGAATACACGTTAATGAAATCTGGCTACCTGTCCCTAATTACACAAATAGACTCATTTAATCTAATAAAGAAATGATGATATAAAACCGGAGACGAATTCCAACATTGTAGTTCCTACGTTGAGAACAACTCGACCGTTACCTCATCGCCTTCGATAATGTCTACCGCAGTAGTAGACAAAACGTCAGGCATAAAATCTGCAGACCACGGTCAAAAAAACGAAAAAAGCTTTGACACGAATGTTTTTCTAATACAGGGTGTAACTAACTAAGTGTAAAACATTCAAGGAGGTGATTCCTCATCGAAAAAAAGATAGGATCTTTCATATAAAGAAATTTCATTGCAGCATCCCTTGTTAAGATACAGCCCCTTAAAGGGGGTACATAAAATGTGTATAACAATTTTTTCACAAGCACTAAAAAAGTTACAATATTGAAATTAACCTGACGTTTTGTACTACCAAAAAGACACTTAGCCAGAAATTTATTTGGTTTACCCCATGGTTGTAAGGGGTGAAAAACGCAACCCCTAAAATGTTCTTCCAATGTAACTTTTTGTCTTATTATTTGTTTACCATTTAAAAAGTTATTTCCGATAGCCTGTTTCATTCTAAACAAAAAATGTCTCTTGGGTTTTTTGCCCAAAATGAACCAGTTCGCAGCAAAAAATTATTTTAGGAAAAACTATCGAGATACGTCGTCGAGATACATTGATTAATTATGTGCTCGGGATTATTTGAAGTCGACGAGGGCCGTTTTTGTCTGGCCCTGATTGGCGAAGGTTATATTCGTAAGACAGTTATCGAAGTGCTTGAAAAGACAGTGCGAGAGGTCTGGAGAGTATGCTGGGTGAGGCAGAACTTCGACGCTCAATTCGTTTAATTTTCGGACGGTGATTTGTGAAATGTGCGGACGCGCATTGTCGTGGAGCAGGATGAGACCTCTTCCTTTGACTAGTGACAGCTGCTGCTGACACAATTTTCGGTACCTCACAATAGGACTCTACTGTGATAGTTTGGCCCGATTACAGAAAGTTATAGTGACTCACACTAGCCGCTTACCACCATACAGTAACCATGGTCTTTTTGTGCTGAGTTTTCACTTTCGGAAAGTACATGGGTGGCTCATCGGTGGCCAACCAATGTCTTGAACGTCTCTTGTTGTTGTAGATGATCCACTTTTCATCACACGTGACAATCCGTCAAAAACCGCATGAGAGCTGACGTCTAGTTTTTCTGCCATCCCACGCACCGTTTGTGATGGGTCACATCACCTCTACCAGGGTCCTCAAATCATCGTGTCCTGAATTACTGTAGATCGATCACTTCGGGGCTCATCTTCAAGGCTGAAATCTCCGAAACGAAATTTCGCACACCAACGTAGAACATTGCGTTCATCAGCACTATTATTGCCAAATGCCTGGTTGATGTTTCTGGCTGCTTCGGCATCGGTTTGGTTCAACTCATTGAGAAAAATTGGCCCCAAAATCGCTTAACGACATCATATAGTATTATGCTGAAAAAGGGAAAAAAATTCAAATTTGAAAAAAAAATTAGCAGCATCAATGAATAGAGTAGGTATAGTCGAAGTAATCTTTATTGTGAATAGGCATCTCAAAAGCCAAAAAAAAACAATACAGAGAAATGATGCTGCTACGAACTAGTCCACGTGGACTAAATAATTGGCGGTTCGTATTGGATAATTAATAATAATAATCGTCTTTATTGTTTCCCAGCTGTAGTTACATACAAATATTTAGATAAATTGTTAGCACAAGTGCTACTGAGTTGTTCTTCTTTTTACTAACCGAGTTTTATGATTGGCTGAAGAGTCATAAAATGAAATTTGAAGACATGTTACTGTGACGAATAGAATATGAGGATGTGTATCGCTGTTCGTTGTGTCGTCAATGTTCAGTTCAGGAACTGATCGCGATTTGGGTGTTGAAATTCGATATTGGTGCAGTTATAATTACTTAAAATTTTTGTTATCTGTTTGAAATGTAGCGTCCTTGCAGTGGCGGCGAAAGACCTAAATTCAATGTGAGGAAGGTGCAAGAAGAAGGGTTCATGGAATAAAAAAAACTTGAAATTACACAATTTTTCATTCATTAAGAAACACTTATCAAAATTAATACTTATGTACTTTTTGGAACATTGAACAACAAAATAAAAAATAAAAAAATCAACATGGCTCAGTGAAAGTATTTTTCTGGTTGATTCGGCCGTTACTTGATGAAGATCCATAGATCACTTGAAGATCACTTGAAATAAATTTTGAAGAGATCAAATCGTGAGAATTAGTTTTTGAAATCAGTGAAAGTAACTGACACTGCCGTCTTTCACTCACTTAACTTAAATTTAAAAATTATTTTTTAATTTTTTTAGCCGAACCAGATTCCCATTTTCTCCCTTTATCTCTATTTCTCCTAGTGCCTCAGCCTGACGTGATTACGAAGAATGCACCAATATCGAATCCTCAACCTGTAAAAAAATTATAATAACATTTGTCGGTACTTGCTTCTTTCCTTGAGTATAATTAACTTATTAGAAGTGGACTGATTCGTTCAGATAAAAATTCGATGAATATAGTACATAATTATATTAATTTGTATATTACCTGTAACATATTACAGTATTTTACTGACGTAATATTATGTTTATATGGAGTATTTTCAGTTTGAGAATTTTCTAATGTATTATTTGTGAAAAGAAATTTTGGCGTGTACTGTTGAATTTTCCATACTTTAAAAAAATATTTTCGGCTTTGAGGCGCGAGGCCCTCTGCGCCGCGAGGCCGTGGGCGGTGGCCGCCCACGCCTTACGCTACCTCTGCGTCCTTGGACAAGTACTAATAGTAATAACGAGTGTGTAGTGCTGGTGAACAATGCGAAAAAGAGATACCAATGAATAAGATTCGGATGCATTTGAATATTGAAACACAGAGAGTATGTTTCAATGTATATAAGAATCTACATCTCATGTTCGGTTTCGAGGGAAACAAACTATTACAAGCAACACCAGATTTGACCGAAATTTCTTTCTCAACTGTACATAAAATAGTCAAAAACAAACCTTATGAGGGCAAGACGCGATGTGATACGGGATTACCAAAACCTTTAAATGTTCATCTAATAAAGTCATTAAAATACCAACATATGACTGTTACAAAAGCAACGAGATTCCTACAATTGAAATCATAAGGAAGAAATTGAATACTTCCGGCCATAACGTGACCAGCTGTGACAAAACTCTTCAGAATTGGATAAAGAAACTAGGATTTAGATTTAAAATAATAAACAAACGTCAAGCAGTTATGGAAGGTGGACTGATGGTTCGAGAATGTGTAGGCCTAACATGCCTACAAACAAAGGATCGCGACTAATCATTGTGCATTGCGGAGGAATTAAAGGATGGGTTTCGAATTCTTTGAAATTATGTGGAAAAAACTTGAGAACTGCAATGTTGACTATCATAAGAACATGTAAGCTAATATTTTTGAGGAATGGTTTGGATAGCATTTGGTATTTTGAAGATAACTATACCAAAAACCAACTACTTGAAGTTTCACAGACAAAAACATTTGAAAAAGTGTATGACTTCGAGAGTATTGCTGAAAAGTCAAGGACACACCATACTGAGACTTCCCCCCTATTTTTGTGTTTTCAATCTCATCGAGTTGATTTGGGGAAAATTGAAATAATTCATCAGGGGTAAAAATAATATAGTTATTTATACAAATTTTATAAATGTCTGGAAGTTAATTGAAATGTCTTCGAACATATTTTGAGATGGTTTTTATATTTTGTGTGGGAAAACAAAGCAATATTTTTGAATTTTCGCGCTTCCACGCTACATTTAGAATGAACATTTTTCAATTCATTATTTCTTCCTCAATAAAACCCATGACGGCAAATTAATGGCTCAAATAAACTTTTTGTAACTGTTCGAAATGAAGATTTCATACCCGGTAATTAACGGTTGATTTTTAACATATATAAATATGAAAATGAGTCAAAATCATTTCGGAATCTCAAAACTATCCTAAAATACATGGTGTTCCATTCGAAAAAACTAACGTTCGGTACATTTTCATATTTTCAGAATTAGTCATCGATACCGAACACATTTTGGAAATGTTACTCCACAAGGCGATGGAATGAAGTATTTCAATTTATCAATAATGGCTCATTTATGTATTTTATTAAACTTCTGAATATTATGGGTGAATCACTAGAGAGAAGAATATAGGTTGTTAAGAAAAAAATGACGTCACAAGATGACAAGTTACGGCGTTGCCAACATGTGCACTATTTTGAACTTTCAAATTTGTTTGTACTGTTGATATGTTTCATTGCTATTATCCTTATTTACGTTTGATATTTGTGGGGACTATTTCGACAATGCTTTAGGCATATTGAATATACGCAGGTCTTATCAAAAGAAATGATATTTCTGAAAAGAAAAGAAAGACTGACAGTTTTTGAGTTTTTTCAATTTGGCAACGTCTGAAATTTTTCTATCAGTTGAGCAACTTACAAAATGAAATCTTACTAGTTTCATTGCTGATGAACGCATTTCAGTGGAAATTTTAACGTTGTTATGTTGGATATACAAAATTACCAAAAATGACGTCATTCTCTTCTTAACGTGAACAGCCTATACCTAGTTTCAGTCAGTAGCAAACAAATGAATATCTCGAGAACGGTTCGTTTTTGGTATTACATAAATTCGCATTAAAATTATGCCAGGTATATTCAAAAATGTTACATTTGAATTAAGAAAGTTGGTACCAACTTCCGGTTTAACCGGAAGTGTTGAAAAACCAGCATTATTTTCATTCAATAAAGCATACTAAAAAACCTATATTTTCTAATTTCCAGGATATGAATCCTATTATTTCCTAATATACCGCTAGCCGACGATCATCGCGCTGTACCATGTATAAGACAATGAACATTCGAAAGATGCATCAAATAGGTAATGGTTATTAAAATTTTCAAGTCGGGTTTGATGAAATAGAGAAGATGAGAGAGTGTCGATATCCCGATCTCGTCTACAATTCTCGAAATATAGCTTTTTTTCAATAGTGAAATCAAAGCTTCGATTCCAATATTCCTCTTTACAAATAAAAAGTCACTGAGATTTTATGCGGGAACGTTATGCTACGAATTTTTCTAATTAATAGTAATATAATCAACGGAATACACAGTTTTTCAGACTGAACCAAGTCTATACACGACTTAGGCAAGTTCTTAAATTCACTGGTGAGTCCACCGATTGATCTGATGGATCCATCTTTTAGTTGAAAACTTTCGTGCGTTTCTGCCGGTCAAGGCAATCCATCAAAATTTTTTGTTGGATTCAAGATTTCTCTTCTTTTATGGTTACTCAAGACGAGCAGCTGATTGGCGGTTGAAAATAACGATTTGAAATAGACTTGGAACGAATGAGTAATAGTAGTCCTAAGTTCAAAATATCTTTGAAGTCAAAGAAAAAAATTAAAATGTTCATAGTAGGCAGAATCATATTTTTGAACACTGTTTCAATAAATATGTGATCCAACACCAGACAGCGCTGTTTCGACCCGCCAAGGTGTCATCAGTGAAGTTGTGTTGAACCACTCAACTGTCCTGAAAAGACAAGCCTGAAAGTGAAGGTGATGTCATCACCTTAGGCAGCGCTGTTTCAACCCGACAAGGTATTATCAGTGATTCTAGGCTGAACCACTCAACTGTCTTGAAAAGCACGAACCTGAAAGTAAACGAGGTGGTTCAGCTTAGTACCACTGATGTTATTTTGGCGGGTCGAAACAGCGCTGTCTGGTATTGGATGGCAGGTTTATTTAGTTGCATTGAAGTGAAAGCTGCAGTGGAAGACAAATGACAAATCTCTTTTAGCTATTGGATGTCAATGCATGACTTTGCCGCCTTCGAAATCCTCGTTCATCTTTGATATTCGTGAATTGGGGCAAGCTCATGATTTTGGAGCATTTCTCTTTAGGGCAGCTGCCCGATCAGCTGATGAACTCGGTTTAGTTTTCGACACTGCACGAGGTGACCACAACTCTGTCAGCGAGTTGGAACCCGTTCGGCAAAATGCTCAGAATAAAAGCCGCAGAGATCACCTCACTTCTGAAGCTAATACATGGGATCTTTTTCAATTTCCTCCCGAATGTATCGGGGCTTCGGGGGATAGGGTCTGCCAGCGCAAACTACGGTTTAAAAAAAAGTTCATTTTGATCAATATATACAATTTCAAGTAACCTATTACTAATACATTACTGAGGAAAAAATGAACCGGGCACCACGGAAGAAACTTCTAAAGAATTTCTTGTGTGTGGTATAGTCAACCTATTGAAAATGGAACTGAATATACAAAATTAGTTCAATTCATTCTTGATGATGTAAACATAAAACAAGTCAAGTATGATACTGAATCAACTCGTGCATAGACAGTTGAATAGAGGAATGAAAAAAAATAGACAAATAACATTGTGCGGAAAAATTTAAGCTGTCTACGTTGAAAATAAGTGGCCAGTGTAGTGTTGTTTCAATTTTACTGGTTGATAGTTTCACGAAATATATCATTACAGTTTTTCAACCAGATTTCAATCTGTTTTTTGAATTTAATTCCATTTCTTATACTTTATTTTATACCATCTGGTGCCAAATCCCAAATGTTCGCGCCCATATTGCTACAATGCCTTTCACCGACTAATTTTTTACATCTTGGTATTAATAAGACATTATGTTCTTTGTTCCTAGCCCTAGCACTATATGGGTGTTGAAATTTGTTCAGTGATATTTTGCCCTCATGAATTTTGGAAGTTATATTCAAGTAAAATAATTGTTTGAAATGAAAAACCACTCTCTCCATAAACAAATTTCTACTTCCTTTTGTTACCATATATAATTTTCAAGATATATTTTGTATTACGTTCAGACTGTTCAAGTGTTTATCGTTCACACCACCCCATGCTATAATTCCATAATCAAGTTGTAATTGTACTAATCCATAGTACATTGTTTTTTACTGAGGGACTTCGAGAATTTCTTTTAATAATTCGAAACGTGAGAAATCCGCGTAATTTTCTGGTTAAATGTGACATATGTAGACATATTTATGTAGAAATAGGTTAGCAAAATGTTAATCGAGAATAGGTTTCGCATTTTGGTGTTCATTTCAGAGTTATACTAACCATCCTAATGAATTCATTATAGGAAATTATCTGACGGTCTTTTCCTGAAAACCGTTCTAGACGTAGCCAAGGATTACCCAGAATTAACAGTGAATGACATGATCATAGATAATTGTTGTATGCAAATTGTCTCAAGACCGAAAACTTTCGATGTGATAATCACACCCAACCTATACGGAAATATTGTGACGAATACCATTTGCGGACTGATCGGAGGACCTGGACTGATTTCTGGTCAGAATTATGGCGACTACAATGCAGTATTCGAAGTTGCATCCAGACATATTACGTACGAAGGTAATAATTTTTTTGACTAAATATATAAATTAACGAATTTCACTAGTTCGGACTTCCATTGTCTACTATATAAAATGATTTGAAATCCCTGAAACAACTAACAGGGATTTCAAATCATTTTATATAGTAGACAATGGAAGTCCGAACTAGTGAAATTCATCATGAAACATTGTCAATATAAATTAACATTCAATATACTTTACTATTGATTCACCAAGATATATTTTGCATGTTTTTGAATAATTATTTTTTTATATATCTGCACTTTACGTTAATTTTCTCTTTTTTTTCTCAAGTATTCAATACTCGAAATAATGTTTGAAATGAAACACAAAACAATTAAAAAAAAATTACCCGAAATGCCATCCACTTGCATCAGACATGAATGACTTTCAGTCTGATTTTTAAAATGTGAATTAGTTTTCTATTTACCGATGTTTCTTTCCCCCTTTTTGTCAATCCTCTTCACGTCTAGAAAAGGGCAATTCTTTGTGGGCTCATTTCTCCATTGGTGAATGTTATGAAAGGTTAACACTGTTAAAGTGATATGAAAAGTTGTTCAGTTCCGTGTCTTCATGGATCCATATTATTCCAATAATTCCTAATTTGATTTCAATTCAAGAACCACTGGTAGACAGTAGTTTCACCATGTTGAACATCATCAGCACCTGGTAGGTGTGTTATAAATAATTCAGTTGAACCCCTATTGATGGAAAGTTTTCAACAACATTCACCAGATTTTATCATTTTTTAATAAGTTTTGTTTATTTTCTCCCATCTTTTTCTTTTATAATAGTTTTTGGTTTAATGAATTATCACATGAAACACAATTCAAATATGAAAAAACAAGTTTTCATCTCACTCGATTTTTTCCAAATTTCATTCGAAAATTAAAAAAAAAAAGATTTTTTAGGTATATGCAGATTTACGTTTTATTTAATTTATCTGGCAAGGATCACGATAAAAGAGTAAAATAAACACCATTCTTAATTTTATATACAACATAACAGTATTTCACGTACTTAAAAGCGAATTAAAAAAAACGGATAATTGAAAATAAAAAAAAAATACCATGAATTTCCAATAGTATTATTAAATTGTGTAGCAATTGTTTTGATAGGCAAAATTGTTGAATACGAGTTACTGATAAAATTTAACATTTTTCTTTGTGAAAAATGCTTTGATTTTACGCAGTAAATCATCGGGGTAACCTGAAAAGTTTTCTTTTCTACACTAAATGCATATAAGCGCAATGACAATTTTTTTTAACTTTGAAATAAGATTCTGAGAAGATATTTTTTTTCATACTCCATTTTCTTTTGCATAGTAGTATCTGATGTAAAAATATTAATCCTGTAAAAATCGTGAGGCAATTGGAAGTTGATCACCTGATATGAATTCACCCTATTGTTGAATAGTTTGATGTACCAGTACCTAACTGATGATGCTACCGTGTAGCGAATAAAATATATTGTAATAATTCTATCATTATCATAGAGTATTTGTAATAATTAAGTTTTCAAGTGGAATGACTTTGTATGGAATAACTTGAAAACATTCACGACAATATTGTAATAAGAATAGTAAATCATTACAGATTTATTTGTTTAGATAAAGAGTTCGTCAACCCGATAGCAATGCTCAATGCCTCTAAGAACCTCCTATATCACTTGAAGAAGGATGATCATGCTGAGCTGATAAGGAAAGCAATTTATAAAACTCTCGTTGAAGACAAAATCCATACCCCTGATATAGGAGGAACAAACTCTGGAGCCGAGATGGTAGAAAGCATCAAGAAAAATATCAAATTAGGAATGAAGGAATCGAAGATAGCCAGTTTTTAAACTTGTTTCATATGAATTTGCTTACTTTTTATATTTGCACTTGTAGAATATGGTTTCATGAAAATTGTGATTTTATTATTTATTACCCACATTAAAAAAAATTTTAATATGAAAATTTTATCATTTAATAAAGGAAAATGAAAGTGGTGGGGGTGAAAGGATCATTATTTTTGTAGAATAATTATTTGTGACTATTATCTGAATGTTATTTGGGAAGGTATTCAACCCATTTATGGGTTTTCTCTGCTCTGCAATAAAGAATAACTTTTTAAATTGAATCAATAAGAATGAGAAATTACTAAGTTTGACCAACTTCTAAGTAACACTAATTATTGTAAATTTTGACTATATATACATAAAAAAAGAANATCAATGAAATGTACAGCCCTCAGGTGTAGATACATATTCAAATCCTAATAACAATAAAAAACAAAAAATGTAACAAGGAGATCAGAATTTCAAAAGAAAGAATACTTTAAGAAACGTGTTCTTTCTAATTTGAATTTTGTTTTTTTTTGATTCATTATTAATTTGTCTAGAATAAATTGCAACACCAAAATTTGAGAAAGATTATTCAACTAGCAGTTATTTATTGGTTTTTCTTATATTATAATTAAGGATGGTATTTATTTCACTTAATTCAAAGTAATTCATGAAGTTTTGGTAGAATTTTTGAGCATTAATATCCTATCACATTTGTGATGCACTGTTTGGAACCTTTGGTGTAGCAATGAATATTACTGGAGTTTTTCCCAACACCAAACCGTTATTTTAACATCTCGACACGTGTTGCGATCACCAAGTGATTATCTTCAAGAAGAAGATCAAACTAATCATACTAACAAAGCTATCCTTATTTATACCATAGATACCTGTTCTAGGTACCTGTGACTTTAGTGTCTTAAATTAATTTTACAATGTGTCCTTATGTAATAGGTAAATCTAATAATTGAAATATTATAAGCTTCTAATATTTAAATTATTAGACTACAACATAAGGACACATTGTAAAATTAATTTAAGATACTCAAGATGCAGATACAGGCATCTATGGTATAAATAAGGATAGCTTTGTTAGTATGATTAGTTTGATCTTCCTCTGGAAGATGATCACTTGGTGATCGAAACACGTGTCGAGGTGTTAAAATAACGATTTGGTGTTGGGAAAAAACTCCGGTAATATACTATCACATTGTTGAAACCTACATTATAAAATTTTAGCTTATATGCTTTTGTAAATACCTTACGAAAAACTACCACTTCCCCGAAGAATACCACGCTGGTTATTGAATTATATCTGACAAACATTTATGCAAGATACCTCACAGAGGTTACTCGACTGATTTCAGGGAGTCCTGCTGCTGGATGAACGAGAAACATCTGCAAAACTAGCCTGTTATCTTGCATAAATGTTTGTCGGGCAGCGACAGACATTTATGCCAGCCAGGGATGCAGTTGTTTTTCGGCAGACATATACCAGAACCGATTGTGTGGATATGCTGGGAGAGATGAATGTTTTGAGATTCCATTTCGAAATATTTATTTTCTCATACATATACAGTGTGGTCCACTAAGTATGCAACAAATGGAAAACTTTTTTATTATAGATTTCTCAGAAAATTTTATTCTTGACAAAAATTGGTGCATGTTCCAAAACTATACCAAGTGTACCTGAAATGGCCTTATGACAAACACCATACAGGATAGACAAAAAAATGTAAAGTTCGTTCAAGAGTAAAGTACCCTTATTTCAAAAAATATAGAAATATATTGAAGAGAAAAGTTGCTTAGAATT